ATTGTTGTATAATACGAAGTAACATGAAGTAATATTGAAGTAATATTGAAGTAATATTTTAATTTATATTAGGTTAAAACAATGTGAAAAGAATTATATTATTTTGCATATTAAAATCACATATTTAATTAAAATGATATATCATGATAGTACAAATGTGCAATATGGAATATTTTCGTTACTATCATAGTTGGATGTACGAAAGAACGTTACCAGACAGACGTGGACTTACACCAAATTTTGGATCCTTCATGCATCCGCTTAGGGGATCTAATTTTCCTAAGGTACCGTCTTCGTTCACGCAGCAGCCTAGGGGATCTAGTTTTTTTCCTCAGTATTATTCCTTCACACGGCAGCCCGGGGGGTCTAGTTTTCCTTAGCAGACTCCCTTCGCACAGCCTGGGGGATCTAATTTTTCTCAGCAGTATTCCTTCACGTCGCAGCCTGTAGGATCTAGTTTTCCTCAATAGACTCCCTCCACGCACCATCCAGGGGGATCTGACTCCCGCATTCCACACCTCACACATATACCTGCGCGTCAGGAGCAGAATGACCACCTTATTCAGAAGGATGACGATGTTCATGAGGAGCGGGCAAATCCTGTTGCAGGGGAGATTTTGGTAGTTGAAGGACGACATCTAATTAGGCATGAGGGATCTGGGTATATTTTTAAGTTATAATATTTATTTAACTATATATTGTCATTTTATGTTTAATACTCATTCAAATTATTGTTGTTTAGTTTTGATCTGTGTCGAACTGCTGCAAAAGCTGTTAATTGGGTCATTCAATTGATGTATACACAACTCATTAAATCTTTCGGAGAGCTCCCAGATACTGAGAAAGATATATGGGTTTGATAAATTCAAGGTAAATTGTATTTTTATTATAGTTATGTTATTTTATAATTATTTTTTGTTATATAAATATCTAACATTTTATTTGACTGTCACATAACTTGCAGGAAAGGTGTACTTGACAAAAATTTGACGAGGTCAAAATTAAAAAACAAAAATTAGCAGTAAGGTATCTAGAAGATTATCTGACATGCTCAGGAATGCTAGACAACTTTGGGAAAGAGATCAAACTTGTAACGCCCCGATTCTGATTTCCCATTTTTGTTGAGTCTTTTTTATTTATTTGGGTGATTATTATTTTATTTGTGGAATTGGTGTGTTAATATGTTATGTTTGCATATTATATTATTTTACCGATTTTGAGAGTTTTCGGAGAAAATAAGTCGGAGGGTATTTTAGATATTTCTTAATTAGTGATTAAGATATATATTTTGCGAGGAAATGAATTAGTAGATGTTTTGTGAGAAAATAAATAAAAATAATTAGAATAGAAAGATATATAAGAGAAAGAGGATAGAAAAGAAAGAAATAGAGAGAAGAAAAGGAAGAGAAAGAAAGAGGAAGAAGAGAAAAGAGGAGAATAAAGGAAAAGCTTGGAAAGCTCCAAATCAACTTTTAGGAATCAATTAATCGGGTAAGGGTGTGAAATCTTATTATCTTATCAATGTATATCATTATGTATGTGTGTGTTTGGATTGTTTGGATGTTTTCCCTCATTTTTCCATTTTAGGTCGAAAAGGTTTAATCGATAGAAACCAATGTTTTAACGGTTAGAATTTGGAATAAATTGTGTAGTTTAGTCGAGGAGGAATGTTGGGCTAAGACTACTGAAACTTGTTGGATTAAAATCGGGCGATTCGTGAGCTTCTCAAAATACCCCACATTTCAAAAAATTCCCAAAATACCCCATTTAAGGTTTAGGCTTACACAAGGGCGCCAATCCAATTGACGACCCTTTGTTAAAGCCATAAGGGTGGTGCCAATTGGTCTAGAGACACCTCACGCAGTCTCCAATCCAATTAGCGACTTAGTTATGTACATTAAAGAGTGTCACCAATTCATCTGGAGACCCTTTATATTTTAAATTTTTTTTTCTATAAATAGAGATTATTTTAAAATTTTCTCTGACTTAGTTTATATAAAAATTTTAAAAAGTAAATAATTATTTTTGATAATATTCATAATATCAATTATTTTATCATTCATTTTTATAATTATTTATTTTTTGTAAAAAAATTTCTAAATATAAGGGGTCTCTAGATGAGTTGGCGATACGCTTTAATGTACATAACCAAGTCGTCAATTGGATTGGAGACTGCATAAGGTGTCTCCAGACCAAGTCGCCAATTGCATGAGACTACAAGAAAATCTGCATTTTGTTAAGTGATTTAGTGACGTGGTAAACACGTGGGAAAAACAGAGGTTGCGACGTGTAAACCACATCACTATATTATTTAATTAATAATCCCCTCAAATTTAAAATTTGTAACGTTGAGTGCTATTTTTTTGAGGTAGGGAAATTTGAATTATTCAGAAATTTAGTTGTGGCGTTGTAATCACATGGGAAACAAAAATTCAAAAGTGTCTTTATTTTTGCGACATGGAAAACAAGTCACAAAGTACACACATGGTACCCACGTCGCAAATGGGAAAATATTAAAGTTGGTCTGCATATATTTTTATAGTTGTGACACATTAAAGGTTGATTTGACTTTTGCAGGACTTCCCACGTCGCAAATGAGATGGCATTAATGTATTATTTTAATTTTTTTACCGTTGCTTTGCATTTAATTTTTGAACATTGAAAAATTAAATAATAGTAGTCCCTTTTTCCTTTTTCCTTCCTTCACACATTTCTCAGAACCCTCCCTTCACACATTTTTCTTTTCCTTCCTTCTTCCTTTTTCTTTCTTTCTTCCTTCTTCCTTCTGCTTGCGTTATCTGTGGTTCCTCTCCTCCTTCACTTCACTGCTTCACAAACATTTTCAATAGGTATGGTAAATGTTACATTCTTACTTTTTATTTTAATTTTTTCTTATTATTAATTTTTATTTTTTTTTCAAAAGATTAAGATTTGGAAGATTAAGCTTTAGTTTTGCTCCATTGAGATATTTATGTAATTAAAATTATTTATTTTTCAGATTTATAAGTATATGAAATGTTTAGTTGTTGTTGTATAAAATTAAAATTTATTGATTATATATGAAAAACATAACATAATATATATATATATATATATATATATATATATATATATATATATATATATATATATATATATATATATATATATATATATATATATATATATATATATATATATATATATATATATATATATATATATATAAAATATGTTAGATATGAATAATATTGTATATGAAATGTTTGGTTGTTGTTGTTGTATTTAAATATGTTATTTTTATTAAAAACATAATATATATTATATTTTTTATTATTGATTATATATGAAAAATAAATTATATATTATATTTTAGAATATTATATGTTAGAATATGTATTATATTTTAGTAAACAGAATATATATTATATTTAAAAAAACAGAATTTTTAAAAATATTTTTAGTAAACAAAATTGTAAATAGAAAAAACTAAAAATTATTTTTTTTTTAAAAAAACATAAAGTTATGTAGATTAGAAAACAAAATTATAAATATTTTTAAAAAAAGTGTTTAGTAAATAGAAGTATTTTTATTAAAAAAATAATAAATATGTATTATATTTTAAATGTATTATTTGTAGTAAACAAATTATATATTATATTTTAGAATGTTATATTATAGAATATGTATTATATTTTAGTAATATAATATATATTATTTTAGAAAAAACAGATTTTTAAAAATAATGAATATATATTATATTTTAAATGTGTTATTTTCATTAAACAAAGGTAAACAAAATTTACCTTTGTTTACAAAATCAAATACACAAAATTAATAAATTAATTTAATTAGAATCTAATAAATTTAATAATGAGGGATAATATAGTTGAAAATATTTATAAATTAAAGGGAAATTACACTCACCTTTTCTGAAGTCTATTAAAATGACACTGACATTTCTCCAGTATTAAAATATTCAAAAACCTTTACTAAAATCTATTAAAATGACACCGACACACTCTATAATTTTTAGTGACAATATAAAATTGTTGACATAAATTACATTTACCTTCCATTTTTTGTTCATTATTAAAAATTTCAGTTGGAATATATATGTTTAGGAAAGATTTATGAATACTTTAAAACTAAAGAACGTGTCAGGGTAATTTTAAGAAACGTCAAGAAAAGTGAATGTAAATTAATGAATAAATGACTTGCAAATAAAAAACAGATTTTAAATTCTATTTGAAAATTTAGAAAGAAAGAATAGCACATCTCAAATGATTCAACTTATTAATTCCCCTAACAACTATAGTGTGAACATAATTCAAGTATGAAGTGTAAGAAAATTTTAATAATATAGTGAAATAAGGCTGATTTTTTAATAATTTTTTTACATTAACAATATATATCAATATTTATAATTTAAAAAAATTAAAAGAAAAAAAGAAAACACGAAAGCTTAATATCATTATGAGAATATCAAATAGACGATCATTATTTGTTATTAGAACCAAAAAAATATTTAAAAAAGGGAAGAATGATATAGTTGAAAATATGAATAAATTAATGAATAAATTAGTTGCAAATAAAATAATGTTGTTAAATTCTATTTTAAAATTTAGAAATATGAGAGTATATATGACGTCTAAAATTATGCAATTTATTAAATCTCCTAACAACTATAGTGTGAACATGATGCAAGGACAAAGTCTAGGTATTAATGCATTATGCTTTGTTATTTGCTATTCCAATAAAACTAAGTTTTTTAGTGCATGACGATATGACATTTAATATGAGAATATATAATAACTTCTAAAATTATTAAATCCCCTAACAACTATAGTGTGAACAAAATCCAAGTAAAAAGTCTAGGTCCATTAGACAAATAGCTTGAGCATGAAAGTTATAAAAGGACATCAATAGCAACTCATTTTAAACACAACCAAATCAAACACAGAAATTTCAATTTTAAACACAACCAAATCAAACACAGAAATTTCAATTGATACCACGCAATGTCTAAAACTAGCAGTGCAATTGCGACACCAATCATTCAGCGTGATTACGTTTTGAAACACTTCCCAACTACAGTTAGCTCAACGTACAATTCAGTTGACTTCATAATAGGCTTTGCTACTGAGGACTATAATCAAAATGGAGAAGGCAAAGGTGATTTCCATTCTACCTGGGACCTTGCTACTTTCAGTCCTGAAAAGGTCAAAGAACTGAAGAAAAATTATCCAGATGTAAGGGTGGTGATAAGCATCGGAGGCTACATAGGAACTTATTCTCCATTCAATCCCATTGAGAAAAAGGATGTGTGGATTTCAACTGCCGTGTATTCACTCAAAAAGATCATTCATATCTATGACGACAAATACCATAGAAACATGATTGATGGTATTGATATTCACTATGGCAATGTCAAATCAGATGACTTTTCCTACTGTATTGGAGAAGTTATAAAGTCGCTCAAAACTGATCCTCAACTAACCATTAAAGTGGTGTCCATTACTGCAGGAGAATACACCCAATCAGACTACCTAAAATTGTATGTGGAAAACCAAGAGTATATTGACATTGTTCAATACTTGTTCACCAATTGGCGATATTGTAAGGAAGATCTTCTAGACTTCTATAACAAACTGATAGCTTCGTACACTCCTGCTCAAGTCCTTCCAGGATATCTAAACCCATCTTTTTCAGGTGATAAAGCTAAAGAGACAGTCATGTACCTCGTCAAACAGTATTTGGCCCCTGGTTTTTTTACATATCCTTCTTACGACTCTCCTAGCCCTTTCTCCTCTGAGGAAGATGCTTCAAAAAATATCTAAATTTTCGGGACAAATACTATCTAAATAAGTCCTGTGAATTGTGTGGCATTGATGAATTTCTTGTTTTCTTTGTATTTCTCCTTTCATTTTGTTTTGAGTGCATATCATTTGCTTCTCTTGTATCAGTTATATGTGTAATACTTTGAATAATATGAAGCAAATTAAATATCAATTTCTTTCCTATACATTTTTATGTCAATCAATGATCACCGTTATTTCTTAGATTTCATTTTAGTTTTCAATGAACTAGACCTTATTAATATGAAAATATTGTATTTTCTGTTAACTCATAACATCATATATTTCATATCAGCAAAAAGAATTATTTTTTATTTCACTAAATATTTCAACAAATCACATACTAAATATACATGATAATCACGTCGCTACCCTAACTATTTCTTATACTAATGTCGCTACCCTAACTATTTCTTTATTTGCGATGTGATTTTCACAATGGAAAAATGTTATTTGATGCACCATATGTACCGCTCTCCCACACGTCATCAGAATCAGAAGAGAATAACTATTTTACAATATTTCATCTTCCTCTCCCTCAAAATACACAATCTACCATCAATTTTTCCTTCCATCCCTCACCATTTTTGCAATACTTCATCTTATTTCTTCACTCAAAAGCATGTATTATTATTTTATTTTTTTTATATTAAGCTTCTCCATTTTTTATTTTTCTCTTATTTAATTTTTCTGTTTTTGTTGTTCATGATTCGAGAAGTTGAATTTTTTACCCAAATAACTTAATTTTTAGAAGAAAAAAAAAACTCTCAAAATACCCCACATTTCAAAAAATTCCCAAAATACACCAGTTAAGGTTTAGGATTACACAAGGGTGTCAATTCAATTGACGACCCTTTGTTAAAGCCATAAGCGTGGCGCCAATTGGTCTGGAGACACCTCACGCAGTCTCCAATCTAATTGGCCACTTAGTTATGTACATTAAAGGGTGTCACCAATTCATCTGAAGACCCTTTATATTTTAAATTTTTTTTTCTATATATAGAGATTATTTTAAAATTTTCTCTGACTTAGTTTATATAAAATTTTCAAAAAGTAAATAATTATTTTTGATAATATTCATAATATCAATTATTTTATTATTCATTTTTATAATTAATTATTTTTCGTAAAAAAATTTCTAAATATAAGGTTAGACATATGTAAACACTTATCTCATGAAAACAAAACAACAATGATCAAACATATGTAATTAGGGCATGTGAATATGGGAGGTCAAAATCAAACACAAGCATTTCAATGTATATTCAACACCAAGATATCAAAGAAGCTCAATAAGAATCAACCTCAAAACATGAGCAAAGAACTAGGAATACATCATTCCATATCAACCCCAAAAGGATTCATACATCCATATACAAGTAAAGGAATTCAAAAGGCAAGCAATACACATTGAATAAAAGGAGGTCAGAAGCTCACACATGGCTTTTCAAGTCATCTTAGATCAACATGCAATAAAAGATTCATACAAGAACAATGCTCATTGTATTGATTTGATCTTGGAGGATTTTGAGAAAAAAATAACTAAAAGTTCAGCAAATTACTATAAAAAGGAATAAAATTCATCACTTATATATGTAAAAACAATTATCATTAGTATGTTGAAGAAAGATACTAAAGGAAATGTGAGGACATAATTATCAAGAATGCTAATGAAGAAATTCATGGACTATGAGGACCAATGACAAGGGAACGTGCCAAGAAAGCTAAATAGGCCTTAAACCAAATAGTGATAACCATTATAAAAGTATGTCCAAGATTGTAAGATTTGGAGGATAAAATGGTCATTTGAATTAGTTCATTGGGTGATGGATTGGGAGCATACCATGCTGCCTGTCATACCTTAATTTTTGAACCTAAGATCCCACATCATTTGTATTTCATTAGAATCATATGTGTGAATACTTTTATACATCACTAACCTATTTCGATATACAAAAACTGTTGGTTGTTTCATTTGATTTTTGAATTAGGGTTTCAAGCCTCAAAAGAAGCTCAGGCAAAAGATCAATTAAGAATGGGTATGATATTCAACTTACCAAGTCCCTTATTCATCCAATGAAGATCAAGATATCTCCTCCATCAATAATCAAGTACAAGTTTACATCATTTCAAGTCAATCAAGCCCCAAGTTCATCTAGTACACCAATTGCGGTTTTGGTTGATCAAGGCTTCCAAAGTGAAATTCTCATCTGGGCATGATCCAATACCTCAAGGTATGTTGCAAGGACCTCAAATTCCTCATGTTAATCCATTAATATGATTTGATTGACCCAAAGAGCTTGATTCATAAGAAATGCAAGGATTCAAATTCATCTGGACCACAAACTAGGGTTTTTGATGAAAAGTCAAATGTACCTTTGACTTTTGACCAAGACATGATCTCAAATCCTTGGGACATGATTCAAGACACTCAAAAACATCCTTGGAGGCCATCCATGGTTTTCAAATAGGCCAAGGGTTTGATTTCAATAAGAGATCACAAAATCAAAGTTCATCTGATACAAAAGTCAAATGTGCCCAAAATCAAGTTTGACTTTTGAAGTTTTTGGTCAACCATGGTTTCTTCAAGTCAAGAATAATGTTAATATATGATTTGAATCATGATTGATCAAGGAAAATAAAAAAAAGTGAGGTTACTTGTAAAGAGGGCAACCATGAAGAAATGAAAAAATTTCTAAGTTATGAAAAAAACCCTAATTTGGTGCAAACTTTGCAAAAGCATAACTTTCAAACCAAGCAACAATTTTCTTTGATTCAAAGATCAAATTGAAGAGCTTGTTATAAACTACAACTTTTTCACTTAGGGTGGATTCCTAAAAAGTGCATAGATTTTGAGATATGAAGTCATGAAGTTAGGGTTTCAAGACTTTTTGAACCTTGACATTTCGAGAATTTTGGGACAGAATCTATTTTGTGTTTTAGCCATCTTTGAGGCCATTTTTCTCCATGATCCAATGCAAACCTCAAACATCAAAGTTGAAGTATGACATTTCAGCTTTCTAAAATGTCTAAGAACACAGTCTAATTCCATTTGAGCAAGGAGATATGGAGTGCATAACATGCCTTGATGAAGTTGTTTTGGTAAGGAAGATTTGACATTACTTATGGTACACGATTTTTGAGTCCAATTGTGATGATCATGCCAAGTTAATTCAATAAGAAGCTAACTGAATCATATAAAACCTGCAAAATAGAGCCACTAAGTCAAGAGGAATCCCTTTGAAATAAGGAGACATCATCACTTTAAGCCTTGAAATCAAGAGGCGTTTATATGGAATAGTGCGTTGTCAAAGAAGTCACTCTCACCAGTTAAGGTGCACTCTTAAACAACAATAAACACCTCTACAGAATGTGGAATTGGTGAAAATAAGAGTTAGGCTAAGGTACCTTCAATTGGAAGTAATGATGCATTTCCAAAACCATTGAACATTGAGCTCATCCTTCAAACCATACTATTCCTCCAAAAAAACTTACTCCCCTATAAATAGAGACCACATATGATGTTTCAAAACACACCAAAACAATCACAACACTTGTTTTCTCATTCTTCCTCTTTCACTTCAAAACTTCAAATTTCCAAAGAGTGAGAATTGAGTTTTCAAAACCAGAGCTTAAACCACTCAAACACATCACAAATCATCCCTTGAAGGTTTTCAAACCTTCATCTTCCCCTCCAAACACCAAAATTAGAAAGTCAACTGTCAAAATCTCATATCTTTGAATTTTTGCATTTCACAAGCCATGTCTTGATTTTGTTAATTTCAAAACCATCCAACACTTCAAACACTCTCTAAATAACATCCTTAAACTATTCCAACAATAGTTTCTCAACTGTAACATTATTTGGTAGAGTTTCCATTTTTGTCACTTTTGACCATTTTGCAATAAGAGGCAACTTTCTATTCTAGAGATTTTATTTTGATTTCAAGCATCATAAAAGCTTCCTAGGGATCTATTTGAAGTGTCCAAAGCATCAATACATTTCTGTAACAACTATCTTGAGAGTTTAAAGCTAGCTTCAAGAGGTAAGTTTCCAAATAACCTTGAACTTGTTGAAATATGTATTGCTTTGATGTACATTAATTAGGAACATGTTGGATATGTTGTATGTGTTGTGTTTGAACCATTTTTTTACGCTATTAATAATTGTATAAAGATATGTCATAGAACTTGCAAGAATGTGCCATAACGGATTATGCTATCATGTTTTAAAATAGGAACACTTTTAGAAAAAACCAACACCGCCACTGTGATCCTTGTGAAATTTTAAGGAAGTTTGGTTCTTGTTTCATCCATTTTCATGAAGTATAGAGAAAGTTAGAGGTGGTTTTGCAAATGGCCAAAACCTAAATTTGTTGGCCAAGACTTGGCCTTGGGCGCCCTTTGTCTGGCTAGGCCTAGGTCACTTAGGCATATTAATTAATGGGTGGGATGATACAACAGATGTATCACCATCTAAGTGGTTTAACCTACTCGCCTTGTGTACTTTGAACCATTGAAACTGGGGTTCGAATTCCCCTCGCCCCAGTTTCTTTTCATTTTTCTGATTTATCAACTAAATAACATATATTATACCTTTCCTTCACCCTTTAATCACCACGCGTGTGTGGTTGGATTGGTTGGAATGTTGTTGTTCTTGGCCTTGTTCCTCACACTACCACTACAACATTTTGAATATACAGCAACACAAAAAAACCGTTGCAAAATCCAAAAAAGTCGTTGCCTTTACAAATGAGAACGGTTTTCAGAGCGTTCTAAACCAAGACGTTGTTTTAGCTTTTAGGAACGGTTATTTAGCCAACGACAATGCCTTGTTCAGAGCCGTTGCTGTAGTTTTATATAGAGAACGGTCTAGAACAGCAACGGCTGGACTCCGTTTTTAAATTTTATGGAATATAGCAACATTTCTTAGCCGTAGTCTATTCTAAACCGTTCTAATAGAGGCTTAAGTTCATTTTTTC